GTATGACTACTAAAAAAAATAAAAATAAATCGTATGGTAAAAAATGTATATATATATATATATATATTTTTTTTTTTCACTTCTTCATTCCTCTGTATTGCATTTTGGTTTATTACCTTATATTTCAGTTCAGTTCACCAGTTCTATTAGATATTCTAATTGATTGTTTGCCTTTCGACTGATATTTTTCATTGACACTGCACACACACACACACATACACAAACATAATTTTCCTTTTAAAAATCTACTTGCTTTTCCATATAATATTGGCTTTTGTTATGTGTTCATTTTTTACCCCTCTAAATAAGCAAACATTCTTGAGAAGATATAAACAGGAAGTTGGATTTAGCATGATAAATCTTGCTAGGGGTAAGTAGGTTGTACAGAAGAAACGTTGGCAATAGCTAGAGTAGGAAGAACAAAGAGGAATATATTGCCCAACTACTGGGTAAAATGAGTCTGATACTGCTAGTAATAAAGAAAAAAAACCGATAAAATGACAAGATTATATGGTTGCTTTATCCTTAAGATGGCACTATAAACTCACAATTTCTTTGTAGAAAAAGAATACATAAAAATAACTGGGATTTATCTGAAATTTCACTGAAACTTTAAAATATAAACTAGAATGGCTTTTGTTTGTGGGAGGCTATTCTAAGTGCTTGGACGTACGTTTCTGATTTTAACTTTATAGTAACCTTAAGAAGTAGGTACAAATATTTGCCCCATTTTGCAGATAAGGAAAAAGAGAGGATGTCTAAATGACTTGCTTTCACTTACACAGTTATGAGATTTAATCAGAGACAACCTGAATTCAGAAACCATGTACTTAATCAACATTCTCTATTTCCTCTTATAGTAATCCACACATTGAAAATGCAGGAACATTAGCATCAGCAGTTATGAAAACTCATTTCTTTCCCAGTTCTGGTTAAGTTATATGGAAAATGTGTCTCTTGCATGGGAAGGAGAAAACAAGAAGCCCAGTTCTCAGCCCTCAGAGTGAGAGAAGAAAACATCAGGGAATCCGCAACACGGGTATAATTGGTCTCTGCTGGTTCTCTTTGCTTTTCCCAGACTGCCGCCAGGAAATTACCCTGCCCTCCTGGGTCAGCTGCCTCTTCTAGGCCTTTCCATAGCTTCATGGGCATATGACCACAGTGTATTTAACATTCAGAAGCAACTTTGCAATCTCCATGTTTGGTAAAATGCTCAACATAAATTTTTCAAGAAATCTTTGGGGGCTAGGGTTGAAGCTCAATGGTAGAGTACTTGTCTAGCATGTGCAAAGCCCTGGGTTTGAGCCCCTGTGCCACAAAAACAAACAAAATTTTTTTTTGTTGCACCCTTTCTTCTTCCATATTAAGCTAGAATCTGCATCTGAAGCACTATATTCTCAGTATCTTCTTCCTTCCCTTCTATACATAATCTCCAACCCAGATAGCAAATTATAGGACAGAAAGAAATCTGTGTGAGAAAGCAGTTTCTATTTGAAGCACTTGAATATTTAGATGCCGCTGAGAATAGAAAGAAATGCAAACATAGACTTAAATTGTTAAGCAGTATCTATTAACTAGTATACCTTCTCCTCAGGCATTTCTAAACCTATGTAAATTATACAGTGCTTTACCATCCATCCATCCATATTTTCATCCAGGTAAAATATAGTTAAGATGAATGCCAAGAGCAACCTGGAAAGGGAAGAGAACCATCAAAAAATTGAATCCTGCAGAAGGAGCATAGACGATCGAAGATGAGATAATGAGCTCACTTTCTACCTTCTCTTTTCTCTTCTACAAATGTCAGGGTGTTTCTTAGCAACAGGTAGCGAACATTATCTCTTTCGGGCTGGGGTTGTGGCTCAGAGGTAGAGGGCTCACCTAACATGTGTGAGGCACTGGGTTCGATCCTTAGCAACATATAAAGTAAAATAAAGACATTGTGTTCACCTATAACTAAAAAATAATTATGTATATTTTTAAATTACCTCTTTCTTTTCTGCCCTAAGTCAATACTTAGCACTCCAACTCCCACTTATTTTCCCCCAACTGTTAAAGCTCATATCCCAAATAGTATTCTTAGTTTGATGAAGTTTAGAGCAATTTTGATAGCTTGTAAATCTTCTTGAAAGAGGGAGTCTTGGGACCTTTGGCTGGATTTTAAATCTATATTGGGGATGCAGTTGGTAGGAGAGCTGGCAGGTTCTGATCAGAACACAGGTTTGGGAGTACAACAGACCTATGTTCAAATCCAGGCCCTACATCAGCTCCTGATCTCAGATAAATTTAGTTTCCCTGCTTGTAATATGGACCTATCACTATTATCTTCTTCATGGGCTGTTGCCAGGATTAAATGAATGAAATCATATGAAGCTCTTTGCACAGTATCAGAAAATAGTAAGTATTCAACACATCACAGCTGAAGGATTATTACTATGGATTTATGTTACCATCAAGAAGGCTGAGGAAATAGTAACAAAAACACATGGTATTGGCACCAAAACAGACTGGTAGACCAATGGTACAGAATAGAGGACACAGAGACTAACCCTCATAATTACAGTTATCTTATGTTAGACAAACAATGTACATTGGGGAAAAGATAGCCTCTTCAACAAATGGTGCTAGGAAAATTGGAAATCCATATGCAATAAAATGAAATTAAACCCCCATTTCACACCATGCACAAAACTCAGTTTAAAGTGGATCAGGGACCTGGCAATTAAACACTGCATCTATTAGAAGAAAAAGTAGGAACAAATCTCCATCATGACAAATTAGGCCCTAACTTCTGTAATAAGACTTCTACAGCACAAGAATTAGTAATAAGACTCCTATAGTACAAAAATCAATAAATGGGATGGATTCAAACTAAAAAGCTTCTTCTCAGCAGAAGAAACAGGTGAATAGAAAGCCTACTAATTGGGAACAAATTTTTAACACACACACATCAGATACAGCACTAATCTCTAGGAAATATAAAGAACCCCAAAATCTTAACATCAAAAAAGCAAATAACCCAATCAATAAATGGGCCAAGGAACTGAACAGACACTTCTCAGAAGAAGATATACAATCAATCAACAAATATATGAAAAAATATTCAATATCTTTAGCAATTAGGGAAATGCAAATCAAACTATTCTAAGATTTCATCTCACTCTAGTCAGAATGGCAGCTATTAAGAACACAGACAACAATAAGTGTTGGTGGGGATGTGGGGAAAAAGGCACACTCATACATTGCTGGTGGGACTGCAAATTGATGCAGCCAATATGGAAAGCAGTATGGAGAATCCTTGGAAAACTGGGAATGGAACCACCATTTGACCCAGCTATCCCACTCCTTGGTCTTTATCCAATGAACTTATAAACAGCATACTATAGGTACACAGCCACATTAATGTTTATAGCAGCACAATTCACAATAGCTAAACTGTGGAACTAACCTAGATGCCATTCAGTAGATGAATGGATAAAGAAAATGTGAGATATATACACACACACACACACACACACACACACACACACAATGGAATATTACTCAGCATTAAATGAAAATAAAATCATGGCATTTGCAGGTAAATGAATGAAGCTGGAGAATATAATGCTAAGTGAAGTTCACCAATCCTAAAACATGATGAATGTTTTCTCTGATTTAAGGATGTTGATTCATAATGTGGTGGTGGTGGGGTGCATGTGAGGATTAAATGAACTCTAGATAGGGCAAAGGGGAGGGAGTGGAAGGGAGCAGGTATGGGGGTAGGAAAGACGGTGGAATGAGATGGACATCATTACCCTAAGTACATGTATGAAGACACAAATGGTGTGACTATACTTTATGTACAACCAGAGATATGTGTAATAAGAATTGTAATGCTTTCTTCTGACATATATAACAAATTAAAATAAAACATAAAATAATAAAAAAAGAAGGCTAGGGAACGACTTCACTCATTTAGTACAGATTATAAACTTTTTGCTAAGCATCCAGATACACCTGTTAGGTCTTTGAGACCTGATCCACATTTCTTTATTCAGCAAACATAATTATAACTCTGGACAGAACTAATGTTTTGAGGGAAATATGCCACCTAATGTGGAATTAAATTGGTCAACATCTTGAAATTTTCCCCAAAGTTTCCACTTTGTTTAGAGATTCTACCCATGGCTAATTAATCATTATGAGTAGAAAGGAGTTGATTCATTGAATTTTGTTTTATTATAAAATAAATTTATTTTCTCCATAAACCTCATGATATTTATTTTGCATGGTTCAATATTTTTTTTGCTTTCCAAGTAATGTGACAATAAGAGCGGTATAATACTCTGAATAGACCAGTGTAAGGGTTTTGATGCTCTTGAGTGGAAAAACCTCCCAATTCCATGTAAGTAATGAACTTCTAGACACTTAAAGTCATAAGAGCTGAGTCTTAAGTTATTCTACTTTATAGCTGTGGGATCTTAAGTAATTTCTTTATTGTTTGATACTGTTTTCTTATCTGTGAAAAGAGCCAATATTTACATCTTGAGGGATCACAGAAAAATTAAACTCATTCATTCATTCATAAAACAATGCCTTTTTTTCTCAGAACCTACTAAATATCGTATATCTTCCTGGGCCCTAAGAATGGAAAAATAAAACATCAAGAATTCTTACTCTTATAGAGTAAATTTGAGATAAAATTTGAGAAAAATTTGAGATTCCTTATGCAAAATAAAACACTCTTGGGCTGGGGGCAGAGCTCAGTGATAGAGCACTTGTCTAGTTGCATGAGGCCCTGGGCTCAATTGCTACTAAAGTCAAAACAACAACAACAACAACAAAACCCCACTCTTTAAAAATTAATTATTATATCATTGATGCAATACTTATGTCACTATAAAAACTTAAGAACATTTAATTGTGGCAGAATAGAGATTCAAATTAGAAAGTGCAGTTACATAATGAAGATATTCTGATAAAGAAAAATAATACAGAAATGAGTCAGTTACTAATAAAAGATTTTTCAAATTATCTTTTATTAGGTAATTTATGATTTCACAACAGCTGTATTAATACACAAACATATATAATATATACAATTTTCCAATCAGGTAAATAAAAAAGCAGTAGTTTAGTATATCTGATTGAATTCATATTACTCAAAACTTTACCAAAACATTTGTTACAAAAATCAGTCAAATTGTTGAACAAATTTATAAAAATTATTGGATGTGTGTACATAAAAAATTTCAAGCTTGCTTTATTAAAAAAAAGAGTGCAATTTCTATCCATGTGCTCATAGTGACTTTCAAAGGTAGTTTAAAGGGAGAAAAAAGAAGGTAGCATAACTTGTAATGCAGCATTAATTAATACTGACTTACCCTGGGATTTCAAGAAAGATCCTTTGTTATCACATATGGTGAAAAATATTAAAAATTAATGCTCCATTTCTATGAATAAAACATAGAAAATAAGACTTCACTTTTCCTGTCTAACTTGTTTCCATGGAAAACTGCATTCATTCTGCAGATATTACTGATACCCCACATTATTTACTTTAAAAATGTTGATGATCTACTTGAAATTCAAATAAAACCCCACAAAACCTATTCTCTCAATACATTCACTGAATGCAGATTTAAGTGAGCACACTCATTTTGATTGTGCCCTTTATTTGAATACTTTAAAATGACTATAAGCACATTTGTATTTTAACTGGTACCAAAATTAAGATGAATGATCTATTCAAAACCAACAGCCTGTACTCCTAGTAACAGTTGTCAAATGCAAGGAAAAAAATAAAAAGCCCTGAGTCAGTATTTTTTTGCAAAAGTAATGAAAAGGATTGCTCTGAAGTCATCTTATAACTTATAAAATGATTAAGACCGTCCAGTATTCATTTGTTTCATTTTCATTTTGATTGAAGAGAGGTACAACTTTTGTCTAATTAATCCAATTCAGATCATGTTTTAATACTCAATTGCATTTAAATCCTCAGAATATCCTGATGATTGTTGAGTTGTATCTTCCACTTCTGTCAGGAAAGACATATAGAAAAAAATGTTTTTCTCTGCTTATTATAGAAAAACAATATTTAATTGTAGTTTTATCATTTAAGACTATATTGGATATAGTCTTATATTGTCTTATATATAGTCTTGATTGAAAAATATTTTTTCAATCAAGCTTCTATAACTGGGAAAATATTATTACCTGTACAGGGTCCTGCCTGAAATTTAACATCATCAATAGCAATATCACTTCTTATTGATGCTCCCCGAATGGCTTCAAAAATTATCTGAAAAATAATTGAATTTGAATTTAGAAATAGAGTAATCCTGATATAACTATGTTGGTCAGGGAAAGTTCAAGTTTTGTGGGTCTAAAGGCGTAGGTAGTTCTTGGGGACCTCTATAAGGAAAATGGTACAAAATTATAAATTCAAATTTAGGTACTTTAGTTTATTTGGAATTTAAAGACCTTTTCAATAAATTACAGGACCCTTGGAGATTCAGATCCCATGCTCACCACCCCCCTTCTTTTGGCATTGGGGATTGAACCCATGGGGGCTCTACCACTGAGCTACATCCCCAGGGGTCCCCTATTCCCATGCTGCCTTTTAAATTTGAAACAGGGTCTCACTAATTTTCCCAGGTTGGCCTTGAACTTGCCATTCTTCTGCTTTAGCCTCTGAGTCCCTGGGATTACAGGCATGTGCCATCACACTTGGCTCTGATCCCTTTCTTCCCCAGAAATGCTTAGCAAAAAATGCTTCCCAGTGCTTACTTGGGTCCCTCTTCCCATTTAGAACCTCTATTTCTAGAACCTCCCAGCATCCACATGGCCTATGAAAGTGAGAGGTCCTGAAGCTTAAATTTCTTTAGGCTCTCCATAAATCTTCCTTTGATACTGGTACTTTACAAAAAGACTTAGTATGACTGTATATACACACTTATAAACAGAAAAGCATAATAATTAAATTTACCAAAATAGAATGGTTCATTTATCATGTAAAATACCAACTATCAAAGACACAGATCAAGGAGAAGCGGGAACAATGTCATGACTTTAGAGTCTGAGCAAATATTCTTGATAACTGATCAAATATTCTTGTTCTAGGAAAAATAGATTACCAGCTCTAAGGTTGCCCCCAACAATGGTTAATAAACTACTCATTACTTCAAGAAGATTTGTGGGTAATGAAAATTGTTCATAAGACATATTTGCTCTACTCATTTTATGAACAAATGACTTCTCATTGGACTAGTTAATGATTTAAATTAAATAAAAAAGAATGCCCTTAAACTAATTTCATTAAACCTCTTTAAATTAAATAAGAATATAAATTGAATAATTAACATGTTTTTGAAATTAATGACTTAAAATAGCTTTAGTGATAGACAAAGCAAACCAATGATTAATAAGAATTCTAAGGACATAAGCTGTGCTGGTTAATTTTAAATGTCAACTTGACTGGGGTAAAGATACCCAGATAGCTGGTAAAGCATTATTTCTGGGTATGTCTGTCAGACTGTTTCTAAAAGAGATTGGCATTTGAATCAGTGGACTAAGTAAGAAGAATATACCCTTACCCAGTGTGGGTCAGCAACATTCAATCTATTGAAGGCTCAGATAGAACAAAAAATAGATTCATTCTTTCTTCTGGATCTGGGACACCCATCTTCTGCTGCCTTTGGACATCAGAAGCCCAGGCTTTCAGGCTTTTGGACTCTGAGGCTTACACTAGCAGCCTCCCAGGTTTTCAGGCCTTCTGCCTCAGTCTAAGAGTTATACTATTGGCTCCTTTAGTTTTCAGTCTTCAGATTTGGATTAAGCTATGGTTTCCTGGTCCTCTAACTTGCAGATGATATATCATTGGGGATTTTCAACCTCTGTAATTGCACGAGCCAATTCCTAAATGACAAATCCCTTCCCATCTGTTTCTCTGTTTGGTTCTGTTTCTCTAGAGAACAGTCGTTGAAACACAACCCTAAACAAGAATCCATATAAATGGCAAGACAAGGTGGAGAAATGTTCTAACACATTTAGATGGGAGGACATATAAATGAAGTTAATAAACATTTTGGTTTTCTGAACAACAAAATCTGTTTTTTGACTTCTGAGTCTGCAGTGAAAAATGTAACAGACAAATTTTGATGAAATTATATTCTGAATAATATGTGATTTTGCCAAACACTTGATTTCATATGACCCTCTCCTTTGAATTTTCTTAACACTTCAGTGATGACAATTTTACACCACTGATTTCACTGTTATATTTATAGATATGTAGGAGTATCTCTCTCTCTTTTCCCTACAATGATGATGAGATTCACTTGACATATCTTTATGCTTTAGAACTAACAAAATCTATCTGGTAGCAGCTAATGAACAAATATTTATTTATAGAATAAACACAATGAATATAGTATTAAATAACATATTTCCTTGGTTCTCAAATTGTGGGGCAGACACACTCAAGTACATTCACAAGAGTGCTCTGGGATAATTTAAAATTTAATGGGAAACACAGCAATATTCAACATGTAGCAAACACTGTATGAACTACTAGTTCACAGTCATTCAAAGATTCAACATTAGACTGATCTATATTCCCTTTGATAACATCTTATCTTTATAGAGCTATGGTTTTGGAAGATGCTATAATTAAAGGAAGTACTATGTAAAAATCAGTGTAGAACATTAAATGAAGGTGGCATAATGATCTGCTTTCAAAGTTTGAGAAGTTGTACAATGCCTGACAGGTATACATATGCTATTAATAAATAATTGAGGTAACTTAAGAATAGATAAAAATATTTTTTCTTTTAATTTAAGTATTTTTTTAACAAATAAGTTACCAGAACATAAATACGTATGAAGTTGTTTGGACTTAGGTAATTAATAAATTGAACCATTAGGTATTTCTTTTGGTGTAGGGGAACGGGGAGAAATTACCAAGATGATAGGAATTATGAACAAAATTATTTGGAGACTAGGCTCTCAACTGAGTACCTGGCACAAAGGAATTCCTAGTAAATATTAGGCAGTATAATTAACAATAAGACTGATGTAAATACTTCAGTGAGCTGAGAATTTGTTAAACACTTTGTTTCAATGACAACAAAATTTAAGAAACAACAGAGGAAAACACCCGAAAGCAGAGGGAAATAATAATCAAGGAATCCAAAGGAGATGAAATCAGTTTGTGTTTTTGATCAATAGTGAGTCAGGTTTTGCTTAGCTCCTTAATAAATCCCTTAGGAAGGAACATGATGAAAAATTTGTCATTTGATGTATTTCCTCTACAATGATAATCTGAAGACTGGCCCGTCTTTGGGAGGCCACCCATATATTTACTCCAAAGGGAACAGTCTCAAGTGGCAGCAGTGCAATAGGACTCTTAAAAACTACACCTCTCTGGCTTCACTCATGATGTGCACATTTACTTCCTTTAGCTCCATTTTCTTCCTTGAACTCCAGTCTCGTATCTACTGTTTACTTGACACATCCACTTGGATTTCTAACAGACATAAGAAACTTAACATGTCCAATATAAACAAAACCTATCAACTTCTCTCATGCGCACAACTGTTCTTACTCCTCCAGATGTACTCTCCCTAGCTTTCCTTATCTCCATAAATAGTGTAGACATTCACTGTAGCAATTGCTCAGGCCCAAAACTTTAAAGTCATCTTGACTCTTCTCTGTCTGAAACTCCACATTCTATACTTAAGTTGTCCTGGAAGCCTCTGATGACATCTCACCCCCGCTACCAAGTATACTTTTCACACAGTAGCTGGAGTGATTGTTTCAAAAAATATAATTCAGATCCTATTACCATAAAGACATCTTACAGCTACCTATTGCTCTTGAAATAATTTCAAACTCTTTGTCATACCCTCCAAGGACTTCTATGATTATTTTAAAGCCCTTTGACTTTGTCACCTGATTGGTTTGGTCTCTTTCTCCTCCTGTGCTTTAAATTAATATTGTTTTATTTTATTGTGCAGTGGTCGGGATTGAACTTAGAGCCTCATGCATGCTAGTAAGTGCTCTACCATTTCTATATCCCAGCCCTTCATATTATTATTCATGGACACATCATCATTGCATGCCTTCATAGGGAACAATATGTTTTAATATATGCATACATTTTGGAATGATCAAATCAAGAAGATTAACATATTTGCTGTATACATATTTTTGCAGTGAGACCTTTGCAATTTACTCTCTTATTTTGAGATATGCAATATGTTACTATTGACTATATAGCCACCCTACTGTGCAAACAGATCACTAAAATTATTCCTCCTATTTACTGGAAACTTTATAACCTTTGACTAAGGACTTCTCATTCTTTTCCCTCCCCCTACCTACCATGCCTCATGGAACCGTCCATCATTCTACTCTATTTCTAGGAGTTCAACTTGACTTACTGTCACCTGGTGCTACATTATATACTTTTGGCTTATATTTTTTTTTACCTGTATCCCACTAGAATATAAACTCCAAAAGACAAGAAATTTATCTGTTCTATTTATTGTAGAATCCTTAGCACAGAACAGCAAGTGGCCAAAAATATTTATTAAAAATGAGATATTTTACCTCCAAACTACTGGAACTCAGTCTAGATGCCTAATCTAGCTATTAAGAATACCAATTCTGTTGTGATAATATGAATTAGAAACTAGGGAAATTTGAGAGGGAATATAGTTTGAGAAATAAGAATAATACCTTTTATAATATAATATGATCATGTTTTCAAAGCCCCTTCACACAAATAATCTCACTTGACTCCAATTCTATCTGTGGTAATGTCAGCAAGGCAGGAATTATTTTCTCATTTTGAAAATGTATGAATGATCTCACAAGGATAAAATTTGTCCAAGATCACCCAGAGCTTGTGACCTTAAGGCAAAGATGATATTTTGGAACTTCTGTGAAGGCAGGAAGTACAGAACAGTGCCTTATAGAACTAGGCAGATCTGGGTTCAAGCTCTTGCCTGGCCACCTACCAACATTTACTCCTCTCCATCTGCAAAATGGAGCTATAGGATCAATGGAAGGAATGTATGTATAACAGCATTGCAAGTGCCCAGCATACAGAAGATGGCTACTCTATGTGCACATGTGTGTTTGAATTTCATTAGACCCTAGGATGCTTTGGAGCACCCAGTTCAGCCCAGTTCCCCTGCAGTCGTCAGGGATTTCTGAGGGAATCACTAAGTCCAGAGAAGATTCAAATCTGTTCCATTTTAAGCCAAGTGGGACAGTCTGTAGTCTTGCTTCCAGACTGTGAGCTGAAAATCTCTAGGGTCATTCGATACCCTTTGAACTTGAATATCCCAAGATGCCACCCCATCTCTCTGTCTG